AGTCCCTGGGCATCAGGAGGCGGCCCCAGCCTCCGGGGCTCCGTTCTCGCTGAAGCAAGTCCTCAGGGGCCCGGCCTCCTCTTCTCCCCCAGCGGCGGTGTTATACTGTTACTTCTACAAACGCACGGCCATGAGACTGGGTGACCCTCGCTTCTACCAGGACTCCGTGTGGCTGCGCAAGGAGTTCACGCAAGTCCGAAGGTGACGCGTCACACTGATGGGTGCCTCCTGCCTGGCAGGGGCCACATGTGGATCTCCGAGGGGGACGATGGCCCTGGGCCTGGGACGCAGCCGATAGGCTCAGGCCAGTTGTGTCCAGCAGCGGAGAAGCAAGATCCCCCCTCTTGCAAACTCAGGTTCAGGTGCAGACTCCAGGCCATGCATAGCCCACCCCGGCCCTCTCGGCTCTGCCCGCTCCTCTCCCCCCCTCCCCATCCACGCCCCGTCCCCGGCCCTCTCGGCTCTGCCTGCTCCTCCCCCTCTGCTCACAGGGCCCTCGGCTTCATCCGTGGGAACTCCCCGCATCTGCGCTCTGCTCCACATACTAAGGGCCAGGCGACAAAGAGGGGTGTTTCTGTGCCGCTGACTGGCCACGCCTGGGACGTTGAGATCCTGTGCCCAAGGCCCTTTCTGTTTCTTGCGTTTATAAATAGGGAATAAATGGAAGTTTTTCCAGAAGTGGTGGGGTCCGTCGGTCTAGATCGCCCCCTTCCTGGTGGGAGGCAGGCCAAGTCCCAGCCTCGCCCCGTGGGCAGCTCGGGCCACAGAGCGTACACACATAATACAGTTTATCGAGTCCCGTTGTGCATACACGATATTTTTGGAGGAATTTAAAATGTAACCTGATGCCCCACCCCTGGAGCCCAGACTTCTGTGCTTCCTTCCGACTCTGCCCCGTCAGGTCCCTGAACTGCCCCCAGGAGAGCAGACGTGTTCCTTAGCCTGTGTTGGCAAAAGGCATTTTTAAATCCGTGTGCCCAGCATCTCAGTCGTCTGTTGCCAGCACAGCGTGTGAGGAGCCGCCACCGGACTCAGCGCAGACAACCACCGACGGTCACGCGGCTCTTGAGGCGGGTTCAGGCGGCCGGGCCGAGTCGGGCATTTCTGCTGGGCTCGCTCATGAGTCTGGTCAGCTGTGGGTCAGCCAGGCAGCGTGATGGCCCCGGCCCGTGGCTCTTGGCTAACCCAGGCTGCCTCCGCGGGATGACGGGCTGTTCACTCAGGTTCACATGACCGTCCATGACTAGCTGGGCCTGTTCCCGTGCCAGCGGCCGAGCAGCAGGAGAACAAGCCCCGTGAGCAAGGCCATGTCAAGCCTCTGCTGTGTCCCTTTGACGCCCGTTGGTCAAAGCAGGTCATGTGACTGTGCCAGGGTCAGCGGGAAAGCAGAACTCGGCTCCTGGCAAAGGGCTTGGCTGCAGGCAGGGCCGTGCATCCTGTCCACCCCCGGGAAGGGGCTCCGTGAGACTCGTTATCCGCAGGCACCACAAGGTCCTTTGTGAGGGACCAGGGAGTAAACATTTTCCGTTTGAGGGCCGTGGGGTCTGCTGCAGCGACTCGACATTATGCCGGAAAGCAGCCCCAGCTGACACAGGAACGAATGCACACAGCTGTGCTCTGGCGACACTATTTTAGGACGTGAAATTTGAATTTCATATTTGCATGTGTCATAAAATTTTTTTCAACGATGTAAAAAGGTCGTTCTATTCTTAGCTGGAGGGTGCAAAGCCAGCTGATCCCAGCTCGGGGACTCAGGCTGGATTTGCCCGGCCAGCGTGTGCTGACCCCCGTGTGGAAGCCTAGGATAACGCTGTGAGGAGAGACCGTCGGCAATAACCTGCTGTGCTGTCAGCACTAACATTTATAAAGAAAAGGTGCAGCCGGCCGGTGTGGCTCAGCGGTTGAGTGTTGTCCCCTGCACCAGCGGCCACCCGCTGGACTCCCGGTCAGGGCACTCGTCCATCCCAGAAGGGGGCGTGCAGGAGGCAGCCGACCCATATTTCCCTCCCTTTCCTTTCCTCTCTCAAAGCAAAACATTTTTTAAAAAAGTACAATGCCCAAACACATCATCTAAGATCCATATCCTATAGTCAGAAAAGGTGATCTAAAAAGTCCTAACAAAGCCGCCATCTACACCTACTATCCCTTCATCGATACAAAAAAATAATTAATAGCTGATGTTTTCCTAAAGGATCTTGCGGAAGTGTAATCCCTTTCTCATTAATATCCTGAAAGGCAATTTTCTGTGCCTCCACGTCAGGGCTGGATGTTCTCTTCCGTCGGAAGCCAGCGAGTGCAACCCAACGCCTGTTTCCTCAAAACACTCACGGCCCTTTGTGGCCCCGAGTCTCTGAGATGTGCCCTTCCCTTCACTGCCCTGCCCTGCGGCAGCCAGGACACGGCCAGCTGAGCTCATGGCCTCACTGCCTAGGGACAGAGGGGAACCGGGGGCCCCACATGCACACATTTCACGTGTGAAATGAGTTACGCAGCTAATCTTCCCACGCCTGCATCTCCGCCCCCGGTTCTGCCCCTCCCCCCTTGGCAACTGACATTTACTTATGTCCGTCTCATAGACTCTGTAATATTCCAGAAACATTTTACAAAATAAATTGCCGTAATCCTACCCCACTCATGTATTTCAAATCCTCAACTACAGTCAGTTCTCCATATTCATGGGTTCCGCATCCATAGTTCGAACCAACTGCCGATGAAAAATAGTGGGGGTGGGGGTGGGGAATACGATACATTGTTGCTGAGGGTGTTACTCCTTAGGCCTATGGTGCCTGACCGCACTGAACAGGTTCAGGCTTTTTTCTCGTCATTATTCCCTAAACAATACAGGGTAACAACTGTTTACACAGCATTTGCAACGATGAGGTATTATAAGCCATCCAGCAATGACAGTCCACAGGAGTGTGTAGGCTCCGTGCAAACGGTATGCCGTTGTATGGAAGGACTGAGCACCCCTGGGGTTGGTGTTCGCCGGGAGGGGGCGGGGGGGTCCTGGAACCAGCGCTCAGCAGATACCGCGGGACGCCTGTGCGCACATGTGTTCTCCCCACAGCACGGTCCGGGGGCTGTGGCATCACCTGGTTTGGGGTTTTGTTTTTCCACTTAGCAGCAGGAGTATGTTTTTAAAATACGATGTAAATTGATTCCTTAGGAACAGTCAGCTTTCAAAGCTCCGAGAAAGAAAGTAAACACTTTAAAAGTGCGGAGAGGCTGTAGTTGATGGAGTTGCTGCCGGCGGATGGTAAGGGGATGGGGAAGTAGAGAAAGCAGATCAGATACAAATGCCGTCTCTGAAAGGCCTCGGGGAGCTGCTCAGGGAAGCAGGCTGGGGGCCTAGCGCTCTGAAGGAGAGGCCCCGCCAGGTGCCGGACCACCAGCGGGCTTTGCCCCGGGGCATGTGCTGGCTCCCGGCTTGAGCTAGAGGCAGGCATGGCGCCCACGGAGGGCTGCGCCAGGGAACAGGGAAGTCAGCTGAGCTTTGTGGTCTCACTGCTGGAGGGACACGAGAGGGGACGCGGAGGAGGCGGAACACGTCACAGGACTTCTCCTCGAGATGTTTACCGAATTCTGGAGCTGTGTAGGGACAGAGGCTATAAAAAGCTCGGCCTCAAACCTCTGAAAAGCAGAACGGAATTGTTGGCAGGCTCATCACGCTGGTGATTAGAACCCGGGGCGGCGGGGGGCGGGGGCCAGGGACACAGGGCTTTCAGGCGAGAGTTCAGGAGGGCTGCTCACTAGGAACTGGAGCGCATCAAAGTCACGTGCAGCCTCAACCCTCAGGCCCGAGTGGACTCAGGTGGACAGCCCCCGTTCTGCCTGCCTAGCAGAGGAAAGAAGGGGAAACACCCAGAGGCGCTCTGCTTTCTCCTACACAATGCCTGGGCATCAGAAGGCACTAGCACGTCCAGAGATAGGGCTACATTACTGATTATATTTTTTTTATTGATTTCAGAGAGAGAGAGAGAGAAACATCAATGATGAGAATCGTTGATTGGCTGCCATCTGCACACCTTCTACTGGGGATTGAACTCAAAACCCAGGCATGTGCCCTGACCGGAAATTGAACCGTGGCTTCCTGGTTCATAGGTCCGCGCTCAATCACTGAGCCACACTGGCTGGGCAGAGAAAGATTTCTTAAAGATACTCCACACACACAAAAAAAGAAAGGCAGGAAGGCGGACCTGGCCAGGTAGGTCAGTCGGGTAGAACTTTGTTCCAGTACGCCAAGGTTATGGGTTTGATCTCTGGTCAGGGCACATACAGAAATGCATAATAACTCAACAACAAATGGGCCCTGGCCAGGTAGGTCAGTCGGGTAGAACTTCGTTCCAATACACCAAGGTTATGGGTTTGATCTCTGGTCAGGGCACATATAGAAATGCATAATAACTCAACAACAAATGCTGCTTCTCTCTTTCTCAAACCAATATATATATTTATAAAAAGAGCCGCACTGCCCTAGCCAGTTTGGCTCAGTGGATAGAGCCTCAGCCTGTGGAATGAAGGGTCCCAGGTTCAATTCCCGTCAAGGGCACATGTGGGGGTTGTGGGCTCAATCCCCAGTAGGGGGCGTGCAGGAGGCAGCTGATCAATGATTTTCTCTCATCATTGATGTTTCTCTCCCTTTCCCTTCCTCTCTGAAATTAATAAAATATACATAAAAATAAAATAAAAAACAAGGCCACACCTACACACATCACAGTCAAACTATTGAAAGCTAAAGATGAGCAAATCTTGAAAGTGGCAAGAGAAAAACCACACACCACATACAGAGGTGATAAAAATTAACAACAAATTATCTGAAAACCAGAGGCCTGTGAACAACCCTCCTGGCACAGGTGAGCCACGGCTGGTGGGCAGGTGCGCCAAGGGTGGCAGCTCCGTGTGCGCAGGAGGCCTGGAGTGTGTGATGCCCGCAAGGGGCGCGGCAGGTAATGGGAACCGACCCTCTGGGGAGAAGAGCCAAAGTGGATGAGCTGAGGGAGGGAGCTGGGCACTGCTGTGGGTACAGAGCCCACGCCAGGGGGGCTTTGGGAAAACGGTCCAGGGCATCAGTAAACAAGGCTGAGGGCCAGGTGCACAGGGGTAGGGAGCTGCGTTGCCCGCGTGCAAGGCCTGGCCTAGGCAGCATCCTGGACAGGAGGACCTGGCCGGCCTCA